GATTCAAACGTCATATTCTCAAAGAAAACGAATATAGCCCGGAAGCTAAACAGAGATATAACAAGTAATTATATCTGTCTTCGTAGTTTATATTTCACGTAAAAAAGTAAATTTATTAAAACTAGGGTTTTAAATTTTTTTTTTCAGAATCTGGAATGCTTATTACACTTTAAAAACATTTTATTATGGTTTTCTGATATATTTGATAATTTTAATATTAAAATATATCTTTTATTAATTTAATTTTACGTTTAAAAAAGAGTTATTAAACAATGAAGGTTTTTTTTATGAAAATAAAAATTGTTTTCACAAGAAATTTCGATTAGTTTTATTACCGCATAGCAGAATATATTGTTATTATTATTATAATATTATAAAAAAAAAAAATTATTTTTCTTTTGTACATTATATGCTATTATAAATGATAAGAATTGACGCTTATAAATGATAATAAATGGTAAATAATTAAATAGGCATAATATATTTTCTTTGATAACATTTGTTTAATATTGTACCGACTTTCTCGTTTTTCTTGCCTTATTCCCGGTTTTTTTCATGGCTTTTCACATTGTCTGGGAAAAATCTTGGGACAATCGAAAAGTGATCTCGTTTATGTACCTCTCTAGTAAGATTTTCTTTCAGAAATTGTACTATCATTGTAAATTCGAGAAAAATATCTGGTAGAAAAGTTTCCTACAGGAAAAAAGTGATATTTTACTAATGTTTTTCTCAATTTTTCACGATTTGTCCCTTTTAATAAGAAAATTTCTTAATCTAATTAAAGAAAATTTAAAAATAACCTCCCCAAATTACCATGGTGATAATATTACCTTTCAAAATTTAAGCAACACTTGATAAGTCGGAGGAGGGTGTTTTGGTAGAAAAGTTTCCACAACAAATCTAGAGGTATTTTGCGATTAAATTAGTCCGACCAAGCGATGGTTTGGGTCTCTAGATATACACAAAATGCTTTTGTTTTATACTTGATTAGGTAAAAGGAGAAGAAAATACGAAACATATTTTGGAACCTATTCGTGACCTTTTCGAGACTTTTTCGAGACCTGTCTCCAAAACAATAAGTCTATCGTGGCCACAATTCGAACACGATTCGAATTTCTTTTACGTGCAATTGTTCCCAACCGCCGATCGAGTTTTAAATGGATTATGGATGTTCGGAAACATGGTAATGAGGCCCCATCGATTCCTAGACGTATTCCCCATATAAAGACACTAAATAATGCGTTTTTTTTTTGTCAAAATTGGAATAATTGGATCTTATTTTTTTGAAAACGAAATAGGCCATAGAGTTACGGTGAATTGTGAACGTAACGTTGCTATGCTCTAAGATTTTTCCCCCTGCTTGGAGGAAAATGAAATAGACACTGAAAATATTTGGTTTCAACAGGACGGCGCCACTGCTTGTTTCATTTTTAAATTTTAAAATCGATCGGTGGTTGGGAACAAACGCGAAGAAAGTCCGGATCGCGTACGGATTACGCGTTGTGTAGCCACGATTGACTCATTGTTTCGAAAATATGTCTCTACGGCGAACTAAAGATTTTTGTTACGCCATTGTGATATTTTGACTTAACTTTCTGTTACGTACTATACAATGCGAAGTTCGGAAATATTGTTTGACGCCCCTCTTCTAAAGCTTATCTCAAAGGGGCTGTTTTTGCTCCGGCACTCTGTATAACTATTCAGCCACGACAAATATACATTATGTAAGACAATATTTAATTATACTATTATGACATATGTTTTTATGCAGTTAAAGTTTTTGTTTTAATGCATGTATTTTTTTTCAAAAAAAACTGAAATTCCATACAAAAATGATAGTGTACAAAAATTATTTTGTCACTCCCTAGCGTTATGTATCACTCGCTGAAATATTAATTTTTTTAAAAACCCAATATAATTCAATAACTAAAACTAGAAGAGTGTGCCTGTTTGAAGAGATTTTCATTTTAGGGAGGTTATAATAGTAAATAAATTTAAGAATTCGACTTCTATTTCCGGTGACATTCGATGTCTAAATGTCACGAAATTCGCAGAAGTTCATATTTCGAGTCTCTATGAATTTTTTTAATATAATATTACAACAAATAAAAAAATTGAGAAAAAAATAATAGCATTATTTTCATAAATTTCCCATTTTTTTGCGGTTTGTCCTCGTTTTTTTCCAGATATTATAAAAACCGCATGGATATTAAAAAATAACCTTCAAAAAGTACCATCAGGACAATATTCCCCTTCAGATATGATGGCGAGCGTATAAATCAGAGCAAGATTTCTGGTAGAATAATCGTACAAATTATATAAAAAAAAAAAATAAATTAGATAACACATTATTAAAATCAATAAATTCATCGCTACACTCAGAATCTAAATTAAGCT